AGCCAGCATCTGAAGAGGGCATTTTATTAATCTATTGTGCCCAACAAGCCCTATAAAACTGTTGTAATGGAATATCCCACTCTCCCTATCACCTATTGTGGACTGACTATATCAGTATATATATATATATATATATATATATATAATGTGCACAGGACATAACTGGCAGACTTGCTTCAAGAATTACTAGCTTGCTAAAGATTTCCCGTCTTTCAGTAGTGTATTCTCTTTACAATAAACCTCTCGTTCTTTCATCTACGCCCATGTTGCTGTTCCTTTCACTCAAGTACCACCTTTGTCTGCTTGTAACCTTCTTTAAGGATACAAAAAAAAGTTAAATCTGAACATATATTTCTTTTCTACAGATACTATATTGCAATATATTATTTCAGTCCTTATTATGAATAAAATAAAGAATACCAAGAGAAAAGCTAATTTATATATTTAAAGCTTTTTTTCAAAAGTATATTTTTAAATTTACTCAGCAAACTCATGCACTGTTCGTTAGGTTACTCTTTGACAGAAAATCATAAAGGAAAATAAAAATCATCATTGTATTTACTCTCTTGATAATTATGCTACCTTCTGGATATGAAAAAGAGATTTTTTTTTTGCACCCAGATTCTTTACTCATATGCAAATAAATAATAATCCTCTATAATTAAAATTTAATAGTTAATCTTTTATTTGATATTTAATAAATTTAGAAAACTTCAAGTGACTTATCTAGTTATTTGACTCAATTTGTGTCAAAAAACTCATCAAGTCTAGATGTTTGATCAAGCATCTAGCCCTGACTAGCCTTTCAACATGAAACACTTGATGAGCATTTGAACATGTAACTCATGATTCGGCTACAAACATCTGGCCTAATGAACATTTTGACATGAAACTCTTAAGTCAGATAATTCACTTGAACATTTCTAAATTTATTGCATATGATTGCTGTAGTTATCAATAGAGCACTTTTTGGCAGAAGTGAAATTCTTGTAATTTGCAGATTTTTTCAGTTGTATTATTATTATTAATAATATTTGTTTGATATTAAATTTTTAGATATACACAAGATAATCCTCTGAGCCATTATGGTATCTTTCAAGAGAAAATTATAATGGAAAAAATGTTATTGAATTCGCTCCCTCGCAGATTACTCTTCTTTTTTACATGTAAGTAGATAAGGGATATTAATTAGCATTTTATAGTAATCTCCTTTGCTTATTGATTTTTTGAGTGAAAACTAAAACCACACAATATTCATCTGAAAATAACCAGCATTTTTTTTAATGGGTACTATAATTCAATACCAGCTACAATGCATCATTTTGGTTATTTCGAGGTTACAGACAGATATACAATATCAGACCCTAAGTATTATATATAGATTAATAATTTACAGACAGAAAAGTATGAGTCAGATAAAACCAATAGAAATATTATAAGAATAGCCAAATAATTATTTAAAATAATATAGAAAAAACATTTTTGGCAAACTTGGATCTTCACGACCACAAAAAATATAGTGGAGTGTCAAAAGGATTGTTTTTCCATTGAGGCATTTTTGTACTACTTTCACTCCTCAGCAATGTTTATTGTTTAAAAACAATGATTAAAATTGTTGGTATGAAGGTTTAAGTTTACCAACATTTTCATAAAAACTGAACAACATAAGATAAGCATAATGCAAACAGCATAACTTAATAATATTAGTATGTTGTATTGGTGTCAAAGTTCATAGCGTTTTTCAATTGTTGGCATTTGAACATTTAATTTAATTTCACATGTAATTAAAATTTATGTTATATACCATATTTCAGTGCTTAGAAGACACTCTGAAGCATTAGACACCCCCCACCCAAATTTTAAAGGAAGAAATTGCAAAAAATTTTTTCCTTGCATGTCTTGGCCCTCCCCACTTATCCCCAATTTTACTCACTGAATAGTATGAAAACCTAATCATGACAAATTCATCATGGGCCGAAAAGAAGTACCAAATTTATGGTAACTATTTAGAGTGTAACAATTAGAAGAGAAGTTAGAGTGCATAATTCCACTGACAACTAACTTTATTAGTTGTTACTTAAGCAGGTGTTACTGTGGCAGGAATTTCATTTCCTGTCAATATCCCAGTATCTCAACTGCATAAATAACTTCTCATAAAATGTTGTCAAATTAATTTTGAAACTTGACTTCTTTTACTTTCAAGGGAATTGGATTTAACTAGGGAACTGATGCTCAATCCATATCCCAAAATTATAATCCATGTCACCAACCTTCATCGGTGATTTTCAGAGCTGTTTTATAGGAAAAAAATGCTTATGATAAGCAGCCAGCAAAATATGGTATATATGCCTATTCTGAAAGGTGACATTTCAATGTGACTTTTTATATCATTCCTATATGGATTGTGAATTTTAACTGAGTTTATGCTAACAGTGAAAAAAGCAGAAAATGAAATAGATTCTCATCATTTGATGAACTTTGGTTTCCACATAGGGAAAAAAAAAACACTGTACAAGCAACAAAATAGATATGTGTCATTTATGGATGCTAAGTGATGCTATAGCTATGAATACTATTTGTAAAGAGTTTGCTAGGTTGAGAAGTGAAAATTTTGAAACTGAAAGACCAAGAACATTCCAGGAGGCTTGCAGTCATTGATCACCAAATTCAAACAATGATTAAATATAATACATGACACATGACAAGTATTTTTTTTAATCATTTCACCCCAAGCAATGCAATAAAGCAACTAAAATCACAAGGGGTTACTGGAAGTGAAAGAAACAGAAGCCATATTGTTTTCAATATCTGTCAGATTAGGTATTGTAACTACTTACACTATTTACATCATTCAGACTGTTGTCCTCATCTTTATTACCATATTCACAACATTTTAGCCAATGTGTGCTCCAAATTTCTTCAGGTGATATACATTGGAATTTCAAACCAAACCCATTATTTAGTCCACAGAGGTAGATTATTCTAATTCCACATGCCATGTCTTTTGTAGGATATCTCAGTATCAGTTAATTCCCTTTAGTAACTCAACTATCCAAGTTTTTGTTCCCTCAGCTATGGCAAGATATTGAACTTACAACTCTTTGTGTCATGTCACTTTTTGGATTACTTAACCAATTCTTTTATCCATGTGTCCCTGGGGACAGTCTTTTGAACAGAAGTTCATCCCTTGTTTCCTGTATTTAGATTGGTTTCCCAGTTCCTTCTAAAGTCTACTTAACTCTATACTCATAATGTCTCTGCCTGAATTCTGAAATTTTATTTGCTAATTAAATCTTGACCTCTTCAAGTCTAGAATTATCTGTCTATCTTTCCTGTTATCTTGCTTTTTCTTACATTAATACAACTCCACATAGTAATCCTCTACCTTGAGTAGCCCTTGGGTCTTGTATAAAAAATATCTAAATATTGTCTTTGAAATTCACTTAAAAATACTATGAACTTTTGTCCAGACCTAATATAAAAACAGTACAATAACTTCATTCAAATAAATTCATGAAAACAAATAATTAAAAAGCAAATGACTGACTGATATTAGTTTTGATAATTGAACTCTTTCACTGCATAATTAAATTTCATGGTCATTCCTGTAATAATGTTAATTATACACCAAAAAAATCAAAAAAAAATCCACTTCTTACAGCATAAGGAGTGTTTTTTTCAAAGCCGTGAGGTAAACCCACTTTCCACAGTTAATGGTGATAAAATAATGAGCACATATATCCATTTTCAGCAACAAAAGGGTTAATAAAAGTTTGAAATAATCCATGTCACTGGTGTTGGACATTAGACACGGCAAACTGAAATAATCATTTTTTTTAGACTCTTTTCTCATATTAAATTAAACACTTCAAACCCAGAATATCTCTAAAATGTTTTATTAAATATAAAAGTTTCCAGAGGTTTCAGTTTGCAGCATAAATTCATTGGAAATTGAAAATCAAAAGGAAAAATGTGCATACGACATTATTTCTTAAAATTTTAAAAATAAAATTTTCTTTTTTGCGATATCATAATCAGGAATGCATTAAGCATCTTCTTCTTCTTCTATGTGCTATGTTCCTTCAGGATTTTGTTGATCATGGCTCTCCACAATTTCCTGTCATTTGTAGCTCTTAATAAATTTATTCTTTTTGTTATCTCTTGTTCCACTATCCATTTACTCAAGCTTATTAGGTAGGTTATGTGTTGTTTTCCTGTGTCTCTGATTATAAATTTTTCATTTTTTAAAATTTTATTCACATGATATGAGCATCTTTTATTTTGGCTCACATAGGGGGATCAATTTACAATAAATTTACATAACAAACTGGACCCCCTATTAATTTTTATAATATTTAATACCAAAAACAATCGTAAAAAGTTTTGTACATTATATCTTTCTTCCTGTATGGCATTGAGTGCTGGACAATCTCCTCAAAGATGAAGAGACTTCAAGCAACAGAATGTGGTTCTACAGAAGGATGCTGAGGATACCATGGTCCAAACAGTCGAGGTTTCTGGGGTACATAATGAGTAGGGGGGCTTGGAAAATCTGATACTTATGGGACTGATAGAGTGCACGAGTTTGAGTAAATGGATGGTGGAACAGGCTTCAAGAGAAATAACAGAAACCCAAAGATTATAAAGAGCTACAAGGGACAGGAAGCTGTAGAAAGCCATGATTGTTCATGACCTGAGGGGACATGGCATATAAAGAAGAAAAAAGAAGTCTGGAGTGCTTAATTTATAGTTATAAGAAAAAATTTTGAAAAAAAAAAAAAAATGATTATTTCTGGTCATAGTGCCTGTTGTACAATTACCTGTAGGAGAATTTGATATCAATAAAAACTCAAATTTTTCCAAATAAAATTTTGAAAGTAACTAGAGTATATTTTAGGAAAGGTGAGAAAAATTATTTAAGTTACTTTTTGAATACTAGGATTTAATTTAATTAAGATTTCAGGTTAATTCCTTTCAAACTGCTCAAGATTTGTACTCACCGTGTTTTCAGATCGAGCTTTCTCCACAACTTTTAGAAATTCGTCCACTTGTTCCAAAGTGGGTGGAGCAAAATCTTTTATTTTGATGTGGTACCAAACTAATTTATCTGTCAAAAAAGAAAGTGAAATAAGATTAACTATGGTTAGATTAGCAGTGAATGCTGGACTATCTCCTCAAAGATAAAGAAGAGACTTGAAGCAACAGAAATGTGGTTCTACAGAAGGATGCTGAGAATACCATAGACTGAACATGTAAGCAATGACAAATTCTTAGAGAAAATGGAAATAAAAAGGAAACTTATACTTAACATCAGAAAGAGATAGTTGAAATTTCTAGGACACATGAGGAAAGAGGGCTTGAAAAATTTAATACTCACAGGACATATTGAAGACAAGAGCGAGAGAGGAAAACAGTGCATAACATACTTAGTGAGCTTGAATAGATGGATAGCAGAACAAGGTTTAGGAGAGATAGCAAAAAGACAAAATTTATTAAGAGTTACAAAGTACAAGTGTGACACTGAGGCCATGTGGTGGATAAATGTTGATTCTGAGCAGAAATGGGTTAAGCTTAAAATGGAATATAGGCTGGAAGATAGAGAGAGAGAGTGGAGACATTTTCCTTGGTGAAAATGGGACCATTTGAATTTCTTTTCCCCTAAAGTTTATTTTTCTTATCTGTTGAGAGTCTGGCATGCAGGTGAAAACAGATTTGGAAGAACAATTTTATCTCTTTATTGGGAAATTAGAAAAAGACATGTCATTGGCGAACAGAAAAGCAGATGGGAATTATATTTTTGTTAGTAAAACGAATTTAGAAATGAAAACAGAGAATGAACCTGTTGTGAAGGTTAAGATTATGAAAATCATTCCATCATAACAGGCAGGTGATCTGGCCTATGTTTTTGTTAAGATGGTGATCAGCCCAATGATGGAAAACAGTGTGTTTCTTTGTTGAGAATTTAGGTAAACAAATATATTTTCATTAAAGAAAACAAATTGGGAAATAATATTAATTTATCACTTGGAAGGCTAAAGTTGAGAAGGTGTTCTGGTTTATGTTTTCACTGGACAGGTGGGTCCAGGAAAAAAGGCAGGAGAATTAAAATTATTGAGGAGAATAAACCACGCCCTTTCTCGTATACAATTTAAAAATTAGATTTGTCAAAAGCACAGTTGTGCCTGCCCTGAGAAATGGGCAGAGTTAAAATACCAAGAAGGAAAGAAGAAGGGGTAGAATTTAGCCCTGCTTGTGTGGAGTAGCAGTATGAGATGTGAAGTGAGGAAGGTTGAAGTTAAGGGAAGAGGAATTCCTGTGACTACTCCCAAGGAAGGTAGATAATACTCTATATTTGGAAAGTTGATTAAGAAAGCAGAAATAGGAGACAAAGTAAACCCTTATTGGAATTAATGAAAATTATGGAATCACTGAATGCACAGGACATTTCAGCCCCATGCCACTTTTGGGCCGAAGTGCATATAAGCAGATGACTTCAGGCTGAGAAACCACATCAAGTGCCTCTGGAATCTACCTCAGCTGCCACCAGAATTCCTGTGTCCAAGACTTTGAACCCAGCCTTCAAGAAGTTTAGACAAGGCCCAGTGTCACTATAGAGATTGATGCGGATAGGGTTAATTTTTGTTGTACCAAGCGCGATATAAACCAACTGAAGATTAACTTCATGAATCTTTCGTTTTATTTTTTCATCGTGAACATATTTTTTTTTCTTAATATAGCACCCACCATGGCTTGAACCAGTGCTGCAATTACTACAACATTCCATCTTCCACTGCTCTGAGATCAAGAACACAATGTGGGCAGAGACAGTGTGAATCAAAGTGGCCAGCAAACAGCAACCAGCTTGGGCCAATGTCAGCACTGACCAGTGCAGAGTTAGCCCCATGGTTAAAATGTTGTTCTAAGACCCTGAGGAGAGAACCACTAAACATGGTTACATCACCGGGTGTAGGCAATGGTGAAAAGGTGTTACACAAGAAATTTTACAGAGTTATGATCATCAATGTCCTGTGAGGAGATGGCACATAGAAGGAGGATGAGGAAGAGAAAGAGGTTAGATTTCTACAGAAGATGAATTTTGTCTATCAGTCTGTGAACACGAGAAAGCTTAATAAAGAAAACGTATGCAGACTGCAAGACAAAATAAACACTGTTTAAAAAAAAGGAAAGTCTACTCAAATATTGTTTTTAATTGATTCATTCATTCATTTTCTATGGATTATCAACCCTGAAGCAAGAAAATATTTTTAGATAGCAAGAATTTGTTTTTGAGATAATAATGATTTATTTAGTGATATTAGTCTCACTAATTAATCCATAGCTAGAGGGGAGAAGAGGTGGATATGTACCTTTCCCAAGTGTAAACGAATACAACAAACCCAATTGAAATTGGAACTTGGCCCTCTGATTAACAATTTTGAGCTGTTATCCATTACACCACCTGCACATCCATACTTACAGCACCTGGTATTCCCAAGTAGTCACCCATCTAGGTACTGACAAGACTTGATGTTGCTTAACTTTAGTGATCCTACAGAAACCAGTGTTTTAACATGATAAGGTCATAAGCCCCTAATAAAAATATGTTGGATTAAAAAATAAACCCATGAATTCTTTAGAAGATGAATAAATAAAAACCAAAAATTGGCAGCAAAGTTAATTTCATTTAGACTCTTTGTCTTGAAACACTTCACAGAGAAATTTCTACAGAAAATGTGCTACTGAAATCGGAACACACATTGGAATAGCAAAAGATGTCTTCCAAAAGATAAGCAAAGTATTAAGAAAAAGGAAAATCTTATCAGAAACAAAGAAAAGAGTACTGAGCTGCTTTGTAATATTGATCCTTCTATATGGCAGTGAATGCTGAACAATTGGCTCACAGATGAAGAAGAGATTGGAAGCAACAGAAACAAAGAAAAGAGTGCTGAACTCCTATGTCATATCAATCCTCTTATATGCAAGTCTATGCTGGACAATCTTCTTACAAATGAAGCGAAGACTTCAGGCAACAGAGATGTGGTTCTACAGAAGGATGCAGAGAATTCCATGGATGGACCATGTGAGTAAGAACAATAGCCCAAATGCGAGCTCTGAATTGGAGACATCAGAAAAGTTAATTAAATGCTATTGTCATCATCTTTGTTGTTATTATCACAAGATTTCAGCCATTTTCTCTGGCCTTAATCATGCACTTGTTGATCTGAATAACTGTTAGGAAATTTCAAGCAGAAACCTTTATTTAGTCTACAGAGGTAGGTTGTTCTCATTCTGCTGTCCATGTCTAGGGATAGCTTGTGTAGTTCTCATTAAGGAATGCTCATTAATTTCTCACTGCATTTCCACTGAGGTCAAGTCCACACTGCCTGGCCCAGGAATTGAACTCACTATTAATATGTCACCAAATTCACAAGCCAATGTTTTAATTCACTAGGTTATTGTCCAGTGGGACAATATTTAAGAATAAGCATTTTCTTAGTAAATGACTCCTTTTATTGGGGCAGGGTTACCCCTCAGCAGGGGATTCAGTTGGCATATTCTAGCCCCTACTAACAGGACAGTATATATTCTAGTGGGATTTTTCTCAGGTTATGGGGTAGAGGATTTGAAGGTAGCATAATGGCTAGAAACTCAGTATAGGAAATAGGTGATCTGAGTTTGAATTCTGGTCAAGTTTGTTGCATTCTCTTTCACACAAGTACACTTGTAAAAAATATGTATCCATCCCTTCTCCCCTTTATGGGTTAAATAAGAACTCTAGTCATGGTTGGCAGCCAGTCTAGGAGAAGGAAAACTATATTAAAAAAAACTATGTAACTCTGGTGAAACTCATGATAGCATAATGATTAAGATCTCAACTAGTTGATAAGGTAGGGAGAGGATTTTTTTTAGTTGTTTCCATGGAAACTGAATGCAATAAAAGATTCAGATCATATTTGACCAACTATATCTGGCTGGCCTGTCTGGAAATGATAAACAACAATAAAACAAATTTAAACATTTATGAATCTTTCAACCAACATTCACAAGGATGTCAAACAGTTTTTGAGTTCTTTTCATAAACACACAAACACAAAATATAGCATACCTTCAAACTATATATATATATTTAAACATTTAGATATTTTTTTATTAAATTGGTCCTAAGCTTTCGGCTCACATGAGTCATCCTCAAGGTTATTATTAAGTGGTTATACAGACTTGAAACAAATATATCCACCATAAAAAATGATATTTTGTTATTTTGACGTAGAAAATTGCTATGCGATGACAACGGTTGTGGAATAACAGATGCTGATTGTAAGTTCAAGATGCTGTTCTATGACATCATACCACATGATAGACTGAAGTATTAAAACAGAACCAATGTCTATTCCGTGAATGTTGTCATTGCATAGGAATTTTCTATGTCAAAATAACAAAATAACATCTTTGACAGTGGATATCTTTGTTTCATGTCTGTATAACCATTCTGAGGATGGCTCATGTGAACCGAAAGCTTAGGACCAACTTAATAAAAAAATATCTAAATGTTGGACAATTTTTGTTTTATATTCACCAGAAATTAAAGCAAACATTCAAACATCGGAATGGCTCATGATCAGACATAATAGACAATTGTCTGTTATATTTAATAATATATGTTTAAATAATGATCTGCTGCTACAATACACTAAATAAATATATATTTTTCCCCAAGCAAGGCAATAAAGCCACTAAGATGAAAGGGGGTTATTGAGTGTAAAAGAAAATATTATTAAGGAGAGACAACAATCAAAGGACAGGCGAAAAAATAATGAAGATAATAATGCCATGTACACAGGAACATTCTCATTTCTTTGGTGTTCTATTGACAAAGAGGAAATTCCACTCAGACAGCTTCTTCCCCAGAATTGTTACTTTGTAGAACAGACTCCCAAGAAGATGCTTTCCAGATTCATACAATCTTAACATCTTCAAGTTTAGGGTTAACCATTATCTATCCTGCATATTATCATAATATGCATTTCTTAGTTACTCCTTTTATGATGTCACAATGACTTCATTCAGAAACCCTCTACCTTTAATGGCTCTTAGGTTTTGCAATTTTGTGTGAACAATAGTATAAAAAAATATTTTGTGAACAATAGTATCAACAATCAGAAAAGACCCTTACAATTTTTTCCAGCAGCCACTGGCTATAAAGCCAAAGCTGATTTCACCGACAAAGGCAGATCTGACCAGGCTGGCATTAGCTACAGACCTCCATGGTAGACCCACTTAACCAGGCCATCAGCAGTGACATTAAGATACTTCTATCAACAGTAATGCTTTCAGCCATTGACAAAACCAGTTGCAGTAGCAGAGAGTTACTCTGAACTATTACAATATGATAATGCATGGAATATTTATTACACGATTCTCTCTCAATCGAATACATATGCATGTTGATTTTCTCCCATGAGTATCTTGACTTGATGTGCATATTTGATTTTCCTCCCATCAGAGATTCTCAACTACATATGCATATTGATTTTCTCTATGTATGTATCTCGACTATTACCTTGTGTTATACTCCAAACAAACTCCCAGTCTCCTCTGAATGATATACAATACCCTGGAACAAGCAAGCGATCAAGTGTAAATCTCCAGGAAATAAAATTACTTCCACTAATCTCAATTATGTTTTTTTTTTATCTTCATTTGTTGTTTTGCCACTGCCTCTTTTTTCTTATTAAAGCTAAATCCACCATTACAAGTTATTTAATTTTGGGTGATCCTCATATAATGATTAAAATTAAGGATGATGATAAATTTATTTATTATTTTGAAAAAGTAACTTTAACAATTAACATGTCAAAACATCTAACTTACCTTCAAAGCCTTTAATTGATGGAGTCAACTCTGCTGTTAAACTAATAAGGTATTTAATACCATGTTTCACTAGGTACATCATGTTGGCGGGCTCATTAGGAAATCCGAGGGCAGCCAAAAAACCATCCACAACCCAGGAAAAGTTCTTTGGCATTTTAGGTAAAATCTGCTGCAAAAAGAAAACAATGAAACATCTTTGAAAAGCTGCAGGATTTTGCATTTCAGTCTTGACTGATATGAAGTGTATGCTAAAATGTTCAGGCAAAGAAACTATTTTCAACTGTGTATTCAGTATCCAGTTAAAAAAAAAAAAAGGAGAATGCTGGAAACTTTTACACATGCACAGCAGTTAGCTTCATATTTATTGGATGCCTAAAAATTGTGGCCTTGTGCCAGACTAAGCTAAGTAAATATCTAAATCACTCTAGAGTTAAATATTGACACAATGTGAAATTTTATGATGCAAGTCAATGTAATTATAATAGAATTAATATTAACCAACCAATGCTGGTAACATTTCCAATATACAATATATATATAAATTTTTGAAAAAAATTGCAGGTTGAGTTTTTTAAAACATTAATAATAAAAAAATATAAATTAAGTTACCTCCCTTACATATTCTTAACAGTTAATTTTTAAATTGACTATAATGGAGCATGTTTCACACACATTTACAAAAAAATTCACAACTATCAATTACATTAATTTTTTGTCTTAGCAATTCACTCCTGAAGATGATCTTGGATGAGATTGAAAGTACTTGGGAAAATAAAAGAAATAACCAAAACTATGGTGTCTTTCTAATCAGTTTAATAACAACACTAAGAAGTTGATGTGAATTTGTGAGGATTCAAATTAAAATAAAGACACAATGTCTAGATTATTCAACCAAACATGCTTGAATAAAGATATGCTGCCTAAATATATATATATATATATATATATATATATATATATATATATATCAGTGAACATTGAAGTCGACACTAAAAGGTGACAGGCTGTTTCATGCTAGAAACAGCCTGTTGCCTCTGAGTGTTGACTTCAATGTTCACTTTTATATTTACATATACTCTATCTCTGATATTGAGCACTTTACTCCATAAATATAGCACATCTTAAAACTAGGATGACTCATTACCGTTGACTCATTCAGGACAATTCACCACGAATCAACTCAATGACATGCAAACTATGAAATTTTTTTGTTGACTTTTTAAAAACAAATAAAAATAATTTTTATTAAGGAACATTTTTAATACATGACTTTATTTTTAATTTAAAATTTTATTGAAAATTGTATACAATTCCCCTGAAATATTTAGTTGGAGATTGTTGTGAAAAAGAAGAAACAATCAGCAGAATTCTTTCATCTCCCTTCACATACTTCTTCAAATTAGAAGGAGGGGGATGACTTCCAATTAATTGCTCAAAAAATGCATCTCAGTTTCTTTGCACCTTTTTCAGCTTTGTAATGAATCTCCATATTGTGGGGTGCTCCATCCCCAGCTCTGTGTGGAGTATTCTATTTGATGCTTCAGCATGGTTATTTGTCCGATCTTGAAAATTAAACACCAGTTATCCAAATAGGCTATTGTAACTAATAAATCAGTAAGGCAAACATC